GTCTTCTTGTCCTTCTTTAGATTATAATTGTAAAAAAAGAGGTGCTGTCTCTAATTACGGTACAAGGCAACACTGTATTTTTGAAACCAAGAATGAAATAGGGCCACAGTTTTTTCAGCAGCCCAGAGAGACGATGGCGAGGACCACAGTCCAACCTGCACAGTGACGCACAAAAGAATAAGTCTCCTGGCTCCTTCAGGACACTTTGGTTTGCAGGATGAGATAGAAAATTCTTAAGTATAGCATAGTTGCTGCTTCACATCTGTTACATAACATTTGAAAAAATCATGCTATGAATAAAGGGATAAAGAGTATAAACTGGCTCTTTTCCTTGGCATTCTTGTAGCAGGCTTCATCTAGGCGGATGTGAGTAACGCATCTTGGCTATGCTACTGGTGAATGCACGCAAATGTACCTGGGACACATATTCCATAAAGTATTTTAAATGATGCAGTTCAGAGCCTTAGAGGAAGCTTGGGGGAGGTGGGGGGCTGGGAAGGAAAGAGTGAAGGCAAGTTTGAGGACAGGGAGGAGGTTCGAAAGAGAATGAGAGAAACTGACAAGGATTACAAACACTAAAGTGCAATTTTAAAATATAAATTATTTTAAAAGTAGAAGAGAGATTCTAAGTCGCTACTGTTCGCATAGGCACATTTTTATTCCAATTTAAACATGTCGTTTCCTTTCCCTTCTCAGATACACTGCATAATGGAACTTGAATGGCTTAAAGCTACTGCACACGGTTTGCGAAGGGACAAGAAAAGCACCAACAAAGCTAAATAGTGCAAGGCATTCTAGGAAGTTGGAGTGCAGTGGGGAGAAGCAGAGATGAAGCTGTTTTTACACTTTAACAAGAGAGCTGTTCCAGTTATAGTTACAGATTCCCTTTAGCTGAACTCTGCTTCCTAAAGGAAAGAGCTTACTTTACAAGTAAAAAAAAAAAAAAGAAATAGATGATTTAAAACTGTTCCAAACATAGATTAAAAAACAACTCACAGAGCAATAAAAATCCTTGAAATTTCTATGCACAGAGGTCTAAACAGACATTTCCACCAGATGATGGAGAATAGCCATTTGAAACCCTGAAAAAAGAAGATACACACATCTAGAGTAGTTAATTATGAACTAATCCTTTAAAAACAGGTAGATCCTACAGAAGAATATTGTTCAAATGGAATGTTTAAAAATAACATTTATTAATAAATATCTTATAAAATTCTAAATTAATAGATTCCTGTTCAAATTTTGCTTTGGTCCTTGAATTCCACTGTATACACACATACATACATATATATTTTCTTAGATGGTTTTTATTAACCAGAAAGAAGCACATTCTATCCTAACTGGATGGCTAGGTTTATAGCAGTTGGAGATGCTTAAACCCCCCCAGCCAATGGCTGGTCTTTTCTCACAGCTGGTTGATTTTAATGACAAACTCAACTGACACATGAAGATTTACTGAACTAACAGAGCACAACTACCCGAACATTCACCATGGATGCCCCTCCACTCAGAACATGTACTGCATTTGATTTCATGAACCCGACAGGCTCCAAACAGCAACCGCCCCGAGTAAGTAACCCTTGTGATAAGGACGCAGGCAGTGAGAGCATACAAACTGCTCATCCCCACAGGCCGTGTCAAGACTCCGACTGGTAAACACTGATGTGGAGACAGGAGAGGGCTGAGGGGAAGGGAAAGGGGAAGACATTCAACCTCACACAAGGCGTTAAAATGAGTGCATTCATCCCCAGGGAGGATTTCCACTCTACTGTCCCCATATATGTTGAAAAATGTCTTCAGGAGAAACAGTTGAGATGGGAATAGCTCAGAGTAGGTGACAACCAACCTGGAAGAAACACTATCAGGTGTCCCTATCTTGGAAGCTGGTTCCCATCACAGGAGGCAGGGGAGGTGCTGTGGAAGTTTCCAGGCCAAGTTGGTAGTGACTTCAAAGGCAGATCCTGCTGATAACAACCCACCTGGGAATAAGGAGAGGCAACGCATCGCTGCCAGCACTCCCCCCTTAGCACGGGTGCTCTGAAGGTCACTGCAACCCATCTATGACAATATGAGTGGGTGACCCAGTAGCTGGGTGGGAGGGGAGAACAGGGCAGAATGTTTCCTCAGATTGGCAAAAAGTGTGGGGCAAGAAGGAAAGATGTTCAGGCAGGCCAGTGATTCTATGATGGTCTGGTGAGAGCCAGGCCTTCAGGTGAGATATTTCATATTGATAAGCTGAGTGCTAGATTTGACCAGTGAGCCTTTCTGCCCAGGACTTCAAGGAGCGCTGACGACTCGCTGGCATCTTCCATTTAATCTATTTCCACACCGCTAATGAACACACCTAAAGGCCCTGAGTATAACAAGAAGACAGTGTATTCTAATTATATGTTGAGGCCCGTTTGCTAACGTGTGTGTGGTTGGTTTGCCTACTTAGCATAAAAAACAGACATAATTGAGCTATACATAATGCACATCAGTCAAACTGTCAAGTTGCTGAATTAAGAAAACTCAGGCAAGTTCTTAACTGCAGAGGCTTTCGGTTTCACAACTAAATATTTCAATTAAGAGGTGGAACAGAAGTAAAATAAACCATAATTTTAGTGACAGCTCACTCCTTGGACATTCTGATATCACCAGTGGATTTTTTAAAAATCCATTTCATTAAGTGCTATGCATGCAGGAAAGAAAGAAAATATTTTTCACTTAAAGCAAAACAAAAATAAAAATTAAAAAACCCAAACAAATATTTCAATGAGCTCTTTCTCCTTTTTAGGGGGACACCTAAATGGTCCTAGGAAGGAGTTTAGAAAAACATTATTTTTGATTTCAAAATAGAGATAAGGATATTAACTGCTTTTTGAGCTAAATCTTAAACTTCTTAGGAAGCCAGTTTGGTTAAACCATTCAGCTATTCCTGCTGGGATTCAAAACAAAATGAAACAACCATGAATTCAGTATTTAAAATACTTAAAAATGATATGTTTGTCTAAAATATAATAGAAAATCCTTTTCTCGTTTGCATTTTTTTCTTTTTTTCTCTTTTCTCTCTTTTTTTTTGCTTTTGTTTTTGTTTTGATTTTTTTAGATCATATATCCAAGTTATGAGTTTTCCTGGAAACTCAAAACTTTCTTTTTGAAAGCACTGCATACATGAAAAGGTTGTTGATAAATATTGATTTAAAAAGCAAGTTATTAGATAAAACTAAAACTAGTTATAAAAACCATGCTTCATGACCCTTATATTTTCTTTTTTTTCTCCAAAATAGATTATTATACTATAGTGAGAGAAAAAAAATCACATCCTTCCCTATTCTGAACTCTTAAAAAAGCTACACCTTTTGTAAAATACTGTTCTTTTAAATCCCATAATCTTCCCTCTCTCTGTCTGTCTCTGTCTCTGTCTTCCTCTCTCTCTCTCTCTCTCTCCCTCACACACACACACACACACACACACACACACACACTCATGTTTGGAGGTCAAGCATTCACGTAGAGATGAAACACCAGCATCTGCCTAACCACTAGAGAGACACATTAGCCCCGTTACTTGTGAGTTGTGATATGAAAACCTTCGCCAAGTAAAATGGCTTGTTTCAAGGAGGCACAACTGTCTGCTTTTTATAACGGGAAAGTCCAGAAAAGTTGCTGAAAATATAAACCAGGATTATGCAGAAGAGTGGAATAGCCATATCCAGGGGATTCTTTCAATAGCTAAAGAGTGCTTTAACTGTGGTGGAAGGGCTGAGAGCAGCTCGATGGAAACATGAGGTTTTCTTTCTCTCTTTGTTCCTCCAGTAGTTTGTCTACTTTCAACCACCAGAACAGCAAAGATGGTTCCATAGGCTTAAGGAAAAAAACAATAATAAATCTTAGGCTATTAGCAGCTGATGACTGAACAATGTAATCCATGTAGTGAACAGAGCCCTTCTGCATTATTATATAGTACATGGATTTTCAACATTATAGACAGGCCATATAAAACCAGTTGTAATTCGAGGGTGTGATGTTATAGCCTTGCATCGTAATTTGGACTTTCACAATTGAGGCTTATAAAGCTCCCTTCCCTAGTGTCTCCACAGCTGGCATTCAACAGTGCTTCACCTATGGCTAAGCCACCTTTTATTTGTTCTGATTATTAAAAACATTAAATCAGGCACATTAAACCTCTCCTGGTTACTCTTGTGTAAAAAGAGAGTTGAATGAACTCCAGCTGTGGGTCACATGCAAGGGAAGCCATGGCTAGGTCCACATTAGCTTTTTTTTTTTCCTTTAAACATTATTTTCTTCTTTACATGCAATGCTAAAGGGAAAAAATAAAACAGAAAAAAGTAACAATAAAAAGTCAACAGGGAGCCCAGGTAAAAGTGGAAATGGAAAGGAAAACTGGGCAGTCAAGGAAGTGGACCAAGAGGAGGAGGAGTGGCGAGATCCTTGCTGATTTTATTTGGACATCAATGGAGCTTCTATTAATACTTTTTTAATAGTAAGAGAAACAGTTGTGGAAAAGGCTCTATGTTAACCTGGCATTCTGGTGACATCATAACACAAACTCAACATGAGTTATGATGTCATCAGACTCCACCCCCCAGTCGCCTTGCAATCTGTTTACTGGACATCTGTGTACGCTTCATTTTGGCTAAAAGCTGCGGTTTAACAAGATTCAACACTTCAGGCAAAGGGTTTGACTGATAAGAATGAAACCATGACTATGTACAGAAAGAGTTCAGTTTATAAACAAGTAACTGGTACCAGAAAATTGGAGAAAAGCACCAAAGCATTTCCCAAGCTGATAGATTATTAATTGCATAACTCCCTTTTTTCTTATATAACTAAGTATAAAAGACAACATTTCCATAATAACTATAAAAATGAAAGCCAGTCTTTGAAGGGCTGAGGAGTCTTCCAGGTCTGAGTTAATTCTAAAAATGCCCTTAAAAGAAAGGACGCAGAATATGCAACAGCTCTTCTTGAAGGCAAGGTGTGACCCACAGATTTTAGAGGATGGGGTTCAGGTCTGTTCTGTGAGTGGTGAGCTGGCTGAGGGTGGAGCTTCCTACCACCTCGCTGACTGCCGAGGAAGTGGTGATGGTGTTATGCTGGATGACCTGCTGCTGCGAGCATGTGGGGGCGGGACTTGCAGGAGGGCTACTCTCTGGACCTAGGAAAAAGCATACACACACACACCAATATAGCTCTTGCCTGGGGTGGACTCGGAGACTATTCAAAAATATTGCTAGGTGTTTGCTAGAAATAGAAGTGTTTCACACATTTTCTCTGGGAGGTTAATTTCAAAACTTTCAACTGTCGGCCGCAAAGCTTTGCCTTCCCATAGTTTACAGCTACCAACAAAGCCATGCCTTCTAGGTCAGCAACATGACTGGATGTGTTTGAGTCACAGCCTGTGAAGTCCTTATCTTGTCTTTTCAAAGAGCCATACATATATCAAATGTGGAAAAATACTCACATGTGGTGGGAGAATCTGTGCTGCTCAGTCTAAAAAATTATTTGAAAAGAAAATGACCTTCAGCTGTAAATTCCCGCTCCTCCCACTGTTCTCTTCTGAATTAGCATTGAACCTACTGATGTTCCAGGTGCTGATATTGGGATCTAGATAAAGGGATCCACTTTAAGTAAACTGAGACAAGCTCACTTGCTTTTCAGCCCAGTGAATAACATGCAGTGTATGCTGGGGTGCTGGATATGATTCATCTGAAGCCTGTTTCCCAGCCCATAAAAAACTGCTAGCCCACTGGTAATTGGGCTCCTACTGGATGCAAAATTGGAATTTGGTGGGATTTTTACAACATGAAATGCCAGGGAACATCTAGCCATAAATGACCAAGAGGTGGTGGGCGTGGTGATGAACAGGGGTCAGAAAAGAAGGATTTCCCTGGTGCAGTTGTCTGGCAGCCACTCAAGAATTTTAGCGCCTCATCCGCCTAGGTGCGCAGTCCAGGCTTCACTTTTGTTTTTTCAATAAATCCAATGTGAAATTAGTGGCAAAAACCTGGCCACTTAAAAAAAAAGCAAAAAAGCCAATGACTTACTGAGATATCCTTGTGATTCTTTCTGCATGGCCGTTATGGGGCAGTCTTTATGCGTTAACAACAGCTGCTTCAGCTGTGCCACCTCATTCTTCAACATGGACACTTCGTTCTGGAAAGAGACAGATCGTCATCATGTTAAGAAGACCAGAGAAGACAAGCCAAGGGCCCCATGCACTTTCAGCACTGCACTGGTACACTTCTGCTACATCTGAATTACTGAATTACTGCCATTGTTATACAACAGGGTTCACCTGAAAACGTGTCGCTTGCCTTCAGCTTGTCCCTCAGGCTTCCCAGGGGCTTTCTGAAGAGACTAGGTTTTCAGTCAAGAGCTGAATTCTATGAAAACTTTCCCAGTGGGGACTCTTCATTCTACACTGACTGGGTGACTCTAGGCAGGTAACATAGCCCAGCTGAGTTCCAACAACCTTGGATGGGGATGAAAATAGTAGGAAGTTCTTTGAGTTGTTGTGGGGATTAAATGAGGTACTAGAAGCAAATACACAGAGCAATGTCTAGCATATACTATGCATTCAGTAAATTTAGCTCTCATAGCAATCATCTTCACGCTACCTTACAGGCTAACACTGATCATGAGTAGAAAGTGAAGGTGTGAGACACTGGGAAGAATTGTGTGGCAGGATGAGTGACTTCAAACTTAAATGCCCTCAGCATAAGCTGATTCCCTCAAAGAATTTCTTAATAGGCTACAATTCAACAGAGCATGTCCCTATGCCTGATGCCACTTAGGAGAAGGCATGGAAGGATTCGGCGCAAATGCTGGTCTTCTACTAGTGGAATCGGGTTAGTCCAAAGGACAACAGAGTTTAGGACCATGATGGAATTAATTTGATTGGTTCATTAATTAGTTTGGCTAATTTCAGTCTATAAACTCCTTTCCCCCTCAATATCAGGGTACTGTGGATTGTGTGTGCATCTTAAAAATTGACTTAGGTAAGTGTCTCAACATCTCCACTTTATGTAGTAATTTTATTTATTTATTTTTTTATGTAGTAATTTTAAAAGACAGGTTCAGGGTTCATAATTTGTGGAATAATGTACATGGCACCATTGTTTACAAGCACAGTTCTCTACTACTATGGGGATTCTTCCATAGATACAGTGCGAAATGATTAGCAGTTGACTGAATCTGAGGATGCAGAACCACAGATACAGAGGGCTGACTATGGGACTTGAGCATAAATGGATTATGGTATCTGAGGCTAGCCAACACCCTGCTGATACCCAGAGACAACTGTATAAATGTAGGATAGACTGTTCCAAGGTGCTTCCACTTGATAAAAGTAAACTGTAAATGCAGCAATAGCTCACATAAGCCGTTTTACAGTTGTGATAAATACTACCCTCTCTTTGACCAGTGTTCTTTGTGGCTGCCATGCATTATATGCCACATGAAAGAGACTTTAAAAAAGCATGCACACAGAAAAAGGTGTTTTAACATTGCTGTCATTAAGTTGTATCTACACTTTCAATATGAACTTGGCTTTTCAGGCATGTATTTATCACCTAGGAAAGTAAGTTTGGAATTCTAGAAGTTAATTAAAAAATTTTTTGGAAACTTGTTTCAAAGAATACTTCCTATTTCCAAATTCATTTGCAAAATACATTTTAAGCAATCAAATGGTGACTAGCATAAATAGAAAAAATAATAAAAATCTCATCTACAAAGGCTTTTCTCTTTCACTTCTGAACTAAACAAAATAGAAATGTCTATCAGATGAAAGGCTGGAGGGAGGAATCAACTAGGAGACTGGGATAAACATAAATACACTACAATATACAAAATAAATAATAAGGACCTACTTTATAGCACAGGGAACTCTACTCAATATTCTGTAAAAACCTACATGGGAAAAGAATCTAAAAATGAATGGACATATGTATATGTATAATAGAGTCACTGCTATACACGTGACACTAACACAACATTGTAAAGTAACTATAATAAAAATTTTGAAAGAATGCCTATCTGATAAATTAGCATTAATGATGAACACATCACTTAATTTCACAGGAAAATTGCTCTTAAATTTGATAACATTCAGGAAGGTGAGCTGTGCTTCCACCTCCAAATAAGTGTGATTGATAATGGGCCCTGTCAAAGCCAAAAGTGACCCTTGTCACTTTGGGGGTCAATAGGACAACTTTATTTATAGGACAATTTATTTCAGTCTTAAACATGATTTTTTTTTCCCCCCTCTGATTTTATGCTCATTTAAATTCAGTCTTCCTTGCTTTTCCCAGGTCTCCTTCTGCTTAAAATAGCCTGTGTAAAAGAAAGGTACTTTTAGACCATCAAATAAAAGGCAACCCTTGGTTAAAAACAAAACAGACAAAAACTGAACAAAAAACGAGAAAAAGAAAACTAAGACGTATGAATATGTATATACTTGGCCTCAAAATGAAGTGTAATGATTTTAGAGGCATTTTTGTCTATGGATAGCAAAGCACTTTATTAATAAACCAATATGTTATAAGTATAGAAACTGAAGCCCTGGGGGTAGTGAGAGTCTGTAAAAATATAGCAACTTGGAGATGACTAACCATTATTTAAAATCACTGTGATGATTGACCATCATTTAAAGATATATGTGAATATGGACATATTTCTTAATGTAATATATAATCATTTAGCTATGTTATAATTGGAAAATGAATGTCACTTAATATTCTCCATAGACAGAACTATTAGCCTCGGTCTCATTTATATCATGCACACATAAGTATGATGCTGAGAAGGATTAAATAAAAGTCTAATGGCCATAAAAATAACAGAAATTCATGGGGGAACTTCAAGCAGAAAAAGGAACTCTCAAATGAGGGTTGAGAATAACAAGGTTTGGCTTCCCCAGTTGCTACACCAACCTAGTGTAAAACAAGGTGGTTGGACTATAGTTTTCTAATTACTTTTTGTAAGATAGTTTTTTATTCTTATTTCCCAGACCTGGGATTGAACCTGTGTCCCCTGCAGTGGAAGCATGGAGCCTTAACCACTGATCTCTAGGGAAGTCCCAGTTTTTTATTCCATGTTTCTGTGTTGCTTTCTATTGAGAATGCTAATTACCTAATAATCTAATGAAGGTCTCCATCTTGATTTTTAATTCACTAATTAACTGCTTTTGGTATTCTCAAATGGGCTTAGACATCAAGTCTCATATTTCCTAAAGGAGCCAGTTCTAGCATCCCCTTTATTTCCACATCTTATTAGGGCTATTCCAAAGGAATATTTATGGTGTCACTTCTGTGGAAAATTTCAAGTCCATATCTCACATGTACATTGTGAGAGTCTATCAGAGCCTTCCTCAGATTCCATAAGGGAGCCTCTGAGTTAAGAAAGGTTGAGAATCACTGCCCTAGAGGAAGCAGAGTTCACTGTGCACACGCATCATCATTCCATATTGAGAGGTACTGACAGGTATCACTCTATACTGATAGACCAAATGACGTAGGAGATACACAAACACGAGACTACATTTTAAACAAAAATTCTTTTCAAGGTAACATTACTAGAAATCACCTTGAATACATTTTGGAAGAGAACAATCAGACAGCAAATGTTTCAAAATGCATGAAAGAAATCAAAAGTGGCCTGCAGTTCTGGTACAGAAATTAAGAAAAACACACACACACAAGACTTCTGCAGGCATTTTCTTATTCTGAACTGAGGCAAATCAAAATTTTTTTTACTCCCCTGTGTGGGTTATAACTATAGGTCTTCATACATAAGCACTTTGCAAGAGCAAAGTATTAATAATAAGTATTGAGGGGCTTCCCAGGTGGCTCAAAAGTAAAGAATCTGCCTGCAACGCGGGAGACCTGGGTTTGATCCCTGGGTTGGGAAGATCCCCTGGAGAAGGGAATGACTACCCACTTTAGTATTCTTGCCTGGAGAATTCCATGGACAAGAGGAGCCTGGCGGGCTATAGTCCATGGGGTCACAAAGAGTCAGACATGACTGAGAGACTAACACTTTCTTTTTTAATTATTGATTCTCCTGCTGAAATCAGCCTTTATTTCTTTTTCTTTTTTCTAAACCAGTTTGGGTTTGCTACTTAAAAGGTTAGCTATTTAAATAGGGACTGTGAGAGTATAGATGTGGTTAGATTAATCTGTTCTTAAATCCATAAAGTTGCCTTGGGATGAAGTAGCACCCCTATAGAGACATTCAACACTATAGTAACGTACTTGAAACAAGGACTCCAAGAAGTCCCTAGTAACTACATTTTCAGTTTTTGGCTTTGGGGGATGTCATTTTGTTAATATGATAAACTCAGAATGCTTTTTGATGCAAGCAGTAGTCCATGCCGAAAACATAATTATCAAAATGATCCCTACAAAATAGCCCCCCTGCCCCATTGTTTTTTTTTTTTTTTCCCTTATAGATTAACTGAGGTCAGGATTTGTTCATTCTAAACCAAAGGACTTTCAATTTGTACAGCAACAGTTCCCATCTGGCCTTTTCTCTTGCCAAGTCCCAAACCTGGGCTTATGTGTCGAAAATTTCAGCAGCGACTTAGGCCATGTGTCTTTGCACTGAAAAAAAAAAGCAATTATTTCCATGGGCGACCAGATGATTTCCATATCATCTACTGAACACAGGCAATCCACTGAGTACCACATTAGCAGTTGGTGAAGTTAGAACTGATCTTAGCCACTCTCACAGTGAAAAGAATGTGGATACTTTCATAGTTTAAGAACTTTCTAGAATGAAAGATCACAGAGCAACGGTTTAGGTCAATAAGCCTTGCTTGGGTCTTCATCCTACTACCTGCTTGTTGTGTGACTTTCGGGAAGACTCCTCATGTCCTCCAAGCCTCAGTTTCTTCCTAAATAAAATGTAAAATTGGTGGTTTTTAATATTCCCCTCAATTCCTTTACTTGCATTGACCTCTTGGGCAGAGATTTGTTGTGAGACAAGGAAATGAAGTTTGGGAATTGATTTTGTTTGCTCAGCTCTGATTTTTCCAATCTGAAGCTCTGCAGCCTAACCAGAAGGTTCTATGCTGGAAAACAACTCAAAGGTGGCAGCTGGCCATCCAGACCTTGGATATTCCTTTTGGCGAGAGTTTGTTTGTTTAGCACCTTCCATTTCTGTTTACTTAAAATTTGACTCACTGGATCAGCCTCAAGAGAGACACCTTTTTCTTTTGACAAAGGTCCAGTGAGAGGGAGAGGGGTCATTCAAAGGTAGCAGAATCTGCATCTCCTCTCCAGCATCACATGGCCTGATATAGAGCTCTCAGCATCCCCGAAGACATGGAACTCTTGTGGTTTCTGTCCCTCTGAAGCAAAGCAGTGGTTGGAAAACACCAACAACTCAGCCTTTTCAGAGACTGTCCTTTCTGAGGCACTGCTTTAACAACCAAAAATATTGGTGCCTGTTGAATGAGACTTTTTTTCTGGTTTTCAGAAATCAGATTTCTAGAATCTTTTATCCTTAGCCATTTTGGCTCTTAGAATGTGATAATTAATAGATTCTGTTCTCATAAAGGATATGTTTACCTTATACGTTAATACCTTATAGGTTAAGTAAACGCTAAAACATATATGCCTTATATGCCTATGTCAAGGTGTGAACCCATCTGACCTCAAAGTAACCAGCATCCTTCCTCTCCCTGGCTCTCTGCTATGAACCCCCTGCCCCATGTCTTCAGGCTCTAGGGTGACAGTCAGTACCCTGGAGTCGTTCTGCAAGGACTCATTTTAGTCAAAATTGATATAAAATTTCTCAGCATCTGATTACATGTCAGCTGGCTACTCAGGGCTCCTCCATCTAGCTCAGTAGGTCTCAATCAGGGGTAATTTTAATCCCCCACAGAGGATATTTGACAATGTCTAGAGGCTTTTTGGTTGTCAAAATTTAGGGGTGGGGTGGAGGGTGCTACTGATACCTAGTGGGTAGAGGTCAAGGGTATTGGTAAATATGTACAATATACAAGAGATAACAAAGAATTATTGATTATTATTATTCTCGGTAATAGTGCCAAGACTGAGAAAACCCACACCCGTTCACGGTCCTCTTGCAGACCTCAGAACTGGTAGCAAATTCCAGGGATGCTCACATTTCAGTCATTAGAAAACCACTGCTGTGATATTTGCTAGGTCACATTCACCAGAACTTTTATTTACTTAACATGTTTGTACAAATTAACTCATTTTTTTAATGATTTAGCCTGGCCCTGACCAAAAATAATCTGTGAAATTGAAGTTTTGATGTTCTGATTACATTTTTTAATACACATAAAAATTAAAAGATGATGATTAATGTTAAAAGTGCCTACCCACATTCCACCTAAAAGCTTCTCACATATGACTATGCCTGCCAGATTCTAGAATTACAGACTTTCAAGTCAGAGTGGCTTCAGAGATGTCTGTGTTCAGCCAAACTCTGTGGCTTGATTCCCTTAAATCACATTTCGCCAAGTAGTCAGGCAGCTAGTTCTTGGACACTCCAGTGATGGGGAGCTCATTCATTTATTCAACAAACAAATATTGAGTACAGACACTCAGGAACTCTTCAGGCCAGACCTAACACTAGAAAAAGGGGGTAGGTGGTCAGGGAAGAGGGTAAGAATAGAGTCTCCACCTTTATCCAAGATTTGTACGAGCTAGTGGGACTTCCCCCATATCTACTGTATATGTTTCCCAGTTTCTTTTTCATGTCCATCATTAAAAGAACGATAAATTTGAGGGGGTGGGGGGGCGCGGAGAGTGAACATCCATAAATTACAAGAGTCAGTCCATGAATAACCTAAACTTTCTTGTACACTTTCAATTTGTACACTGGATGCCCTAAGGTCATTTCCATTTAATGGAATTAAACACGCAAAGGCTTTGGAGGTTTGGCACCCTAATTGCTCCTTTCTAAGGATCCACAGAGGATGTGGGAGTGGGTAAAGGTGACCTATGATACTCCCGAGGAGCAGACACTCTCTCTTTTGGGCATTTTCCCCACTTATTCTCTCCAACTTTAGCTGTCATCTCTATTCCTGGAAGCACTGGGCTCTAATCTACAATTTTACTCTTATCCTTGGACTGCTTGTCACATATCTAATACTTGCTTGTTTCTTGTGCTGGTGAACAGTGTCCTCCTTTCTGTGTGAGAACAAATGCCCTGAATTTCATCTTTTGTATGACATGAAGCCTGCTGGAAAAACCCCAGGTACCAGAGTTTCTCAAATGCTCCTAGAATTGGCCTTGTTATGAAATGTCCCTCATTGAGCCACCCATGAGAAAGCAAAAATAACGCAAGATTCAAATCTTGTCAAGTCTGAAAATGATATAGAAATGTGCCTTTTCTTATGAAGCAAAATAATTTATGCAAACTTTTCTTACATTAAACAAAAATACAGACAATCTAGTGCAAGCTGAAGCAACCGCCTCACCCAGGGAACAGACAGGGCTGCCTTCCAGTTGAAGACTTACTATGTGCAGGCATTGGGCAAACAGTTTTGCAGACCATTAGTTCATTTATTCCTCCCAACAACTTTATGAAATTATTATTCCCATTTTACAGATGAGGAAACAGAGCCAGAGAGAACACTGCAAGTAGGTGCTGAACAAGAGTTTCAACCTCTGTCTGACCAAAGCTTCTGCTCTCAGCCCTATAACTTAGTTGGGCAGGGTCTCCTTCCTCAGAGCAGATGCACTGAAAACCGAATGGTGGTTTTGTTTTGCAGAGCGTCTAAGAATTAATCAAGCCTGAGAAGTAAGCCTGCAGTCGCTCTGTGGCTTAGGTCAACAAGTGCCTGCCGGGCCAGGAAATGCCAATGGTACACAGGGCCTTTGAGTCCCGGGAAAGAGACAGTGGCCTGCACCTGAAGCTGCATGTTTGTCTGGGTGAGCTCTTCTGCTTTCTTTTCCAGTGACATCACCCAGACCTTCCTCTTCTGTCTGCAGCGGGTGGCGGCCGCCCGGTTCCGTTCCAAAAATTTCCGCCGCCTCTCGTCAGGATCCTCATCCACCACCCTTCGCCGGCGCCCTCCTGTGGGCTGGGGCGGCTGTATTGTCTGGGTGGGCTGCATCTGTTGTGTTGCTGGTGAAACCTGCTGAGGAAGAGAGGGAGGAAGTGATGGGGAGAGAGAAGGGATGGTTGGGTAAGGTGTTGAAATGTGAAGTACAGGCAGCCCCTTGCTTTAGTTAGCACATCAAACTTGTTTTGCGAAGAATGAAGTCAACAGTGAAGTCACACTCATGAAGAGGAAAAGCATCACCCAGCTATCTCCTATGATATTTTGGCAAGATACAGGGATGACGTGTGAAAAGAGAGTCAAGTAGACTCCCCCCACCCCCCGACTGGCATTTGGCTGAATCATGATGAAAGAAACATTTTTCTTCCTCCTTAGATGTTAAAAATGTTTTATTTAAGGTGCTTTGTAAAATTTGAAAGTGCCCATGTATGGTGATGGATGAAAACAGAGAGGTAGGGGTGACTGTCACTGTATTGATGGGTCTGCTGTCATCTGCAGAAATCTCCTCCAGGGCAGGTTGTGAATGCCGTTTATTCTAATGGTATCAAAACCCTGTTCCTAGAGTACACCTCAAGGGTGGCATCACCACTGTGACTCTTATCAAAAGAACCCTGTGAAGCCTGGAAAGCACCTGAAATCCTTTTGTCACTACATCACAGTTCTTAATGAAAACGTCTTGTGGGGCCAAACTCCATTTGGGTCTCTCTCCTCCTCCGAGCCTGACCAAGGCTGATGGGATTACAGGAGATGGTGACTGGGTGAATTTCTAGGTGACTGGGAAGCGTGACCTCTGAAAGTCCATCCTGAAGCAGCACTGAGCCCTGTTAATACATGGTGTCTACTGACACGGACGGATGGTTGTATAGCATCATCTATTATATTATAAGGAAATCCCAGGAGTGGCAAAGCACTTTATTAAAAAGTTTTACTATGCTTCTAAGTTCCTTGTAAGGTCTGCAAGAGGTTCAGCAACATGTAGGGTTTCAGGGACCCCCACACGTATAGCTTTATTTCCCTTCATATAGCAGACACTCAGCACCTAGTGAAATTTCTATGACTGACTCTTTATGTGTCTGAACACCTAATGCTTCCCTAATGCACTTCACTCCTTCCCCTTTCTTCATTCTCAATAAAGGGTTTTTTTTTTTTTCCCCCTTCCCTCTCATTGCTCAGTCACTCAGGCTTATGGTGTAATACCTATAAATTTGTTTTACAAGAGGCATTTAACCTGCAGAAATAACAGGCAAAAAGTTTTAAAAATGAAACCCAGCCACCTTTTCTACCACATTCCAACCCTATGATTGAAACCAATCAGAACCACTATACTTGTACTAATAATGGCTCCTGGTTGCCCATCAGCTGACTAACGATATATTTTAATCCTAAACTCTACCAAACCATACATTACTAAAGAATTAGGCTTAGGACTGAAATTGGATTGCATCTCAGTAATTTTTTTTTTTAAAGCAAAGACATTTTCTAAAACTGTTTATTGGCAATTCCTCTCCTGATGATCATAAAGGAATAACAAAATAAACTGTCTAAGATCTTACTCACTAGGGCTGCTGCTGAAGATTTAATCCTTGTTATTGGCAAATGTTTAGCACTAGTGATTTCAGATGCAGTAACCTCTGAGCTAACCACTGCAAAGCAAAGCAGTAGGAAAGAACGCGCTAACCTGGCTATTTTTGCCTTTACCATTTCTTTGTGTGAATTAACAATCTCTCATTGCCAGCCCTTGACAAGGCTCTTAAGTAGGCAAAACTGGGGTTTAACCTTCATTATGGAGACCTCTCTTTCAATTCTGTATTCTCCCACGCTAACTTTAACCAATGTTTATCACTTGATATTTTTCCTTTGCCTTAACCCAAATGGGTAAGGAACATGGTGATTTCAGGCTTTGTCCAGGTTCAGGGTCAAGGTGTGGCTTGGTTAAGTGAAATTCCTGGTGACCTAGGAGTGATACCAGGACTCTGAAATTATATCCTGATATGCAGGTGGATCACAAGAAGCCAGGAGAAATTGCAAATGCAACCCTAAGACCAGAATTTATGTCTCTGATAATTATTGTTACTTAGCATTATCTTTTTAAAACGGCATTTTGTCCGGGGTAGGGTGGGAGGGATAAATTGGGAATATGGGATTAACAGATGCATACTGCCATATATAAAATGGATTACCAAGAAAGATTTACTGTATATCACAGGAAACTATGTTCATAGTTCTTGTAATGAATTATAATGGAAAAGAATAAGAAAGAATATAGATATATACATATATATGCACAACCGAATTACCTTGTTGGACACCTGAAACTAACACAATATTGTAAATCAACTATACTTCAGTAATAAATAAATAAATAGAATGGCATTATGTTGACACAGATTCTCTGAAAATTCTGATCAAAAACAATTAATTGTAATTTCGAAAAGAATTTATTCCAAGTCATCTTAGAATCTCAGAGTTGGATGACTTTAATAAACTTCTACTCCTGGTGTTCTGACAATCCGAATTTCATTTCATCAACCAAGTTTATACATTTTAAGAGGAGCATTTTGAATATGCTCTAAATAATTTTGTTCAAATTTCAACAAGACCAACCTGGTTTTGTTGAAAAAAGCAACTTTATGTAGCCAATTATAAAAGCAATTAACTGACTGCATAGACAATTGGCCACTTATTGACTTGACATGGAGGCCAATTGGCTAATTGGTAATTAGCTAATGAATGTCTTTTATATTTAATGAACTGTTAAACTTGTCTATGAAGTAACCTGCCCATAAATGCAAGCAAAACTTTCGCTATCCATTTAAAAAGAAAAAAGAAAGAAAGTACACATGTGAATCTATCTTTGATCTTGTAGTTTTCTTTTTCTCCTTCTAAATATATGACCTACATTGGCACATGATTAAAAAGGTGCTTTGGATAGCATTTTATTGATTGCTAAACTATGTGCTAAGCTTCTATCACATTATTTCAGTTTGAAATTAATCCTGGCTAACATGTACTGAAAAGTGTGCCAAGGGCTAAACATTCCCTTATTTAATACTCCTAAGTCTATGGGCTTAGTCTATTAATGCCCCATTTTGCAGATGGAAAAACTGATGCTTAGGGAGGTTCGTCTACTGACCTCAGTCACACAAGTAAGGTGGGAAAAGGATGAAAGTTTTCTCATTCCAAAGCCTGATTCTTATTTGCTATGTAGACTACTTCTAAGAATCTTTGCAAAAGTAAGCTTACCTAACAAATAATCTTAACTATTGAACAGATTAGAAAGCTGCTTATGGATAACTCATTTTGTGGGTGGCTTTCTAGGTGTGGTGTATGTTGGAGGAGGCAGGAATGTACAAGCTCTAGAAGCTGCCTGATGAGAGGTACAGAGTCAGACGATGGAAGAGACAGTGAATAAGTGTCATTTGGTGATCCCAAGCTTCCAACATCATTCTGACCCAACTGGTTGAAACCTGGGTGGGTGGAAGGAACTGACAAAGGTCATTTCACTTGAAGGTTCAAAGTGCCCAGGGCGAGCCATGCTCCTAGACATGCCCTTCATCCACTTACTGAAACTCACTCGGGTACAAGGACCCACCTCTCTTCTTGGGCTGGGTGACATAATGTCTGCCTGGTCCCCCGACCCCCTTCCAGTGTGTCTAAATGCTGGCTTTCTTTCTAGCCACTCCTGGTGACTTTCCACCTCTGGGGTTTGGCCTTTCTCTTGAACTGATCGGCTACAGAGCTTGGCTCTCTGTCTGCTCCCTCCAACGCATTTCTCATTGGGTGGGATGAGTCATCTCTCTTCAACATTCACAAAGCACCTTACACCCTAACATCCATCACTGAACCTTTGTCTGCCTGAAATTGTTACTCTTTATATTTTGAACATTTACTCTTATTTAGAAGATTGCCCATTGTATTTAATTTCCGTTTTACAGGTGACACAAGCGGGTCTCTAAGATGTTATAAAGCACTGCAGCTAGAACCATGGTTAGAACGAACTTACCTTTCTCGTTCTTTATTCACTTCTTTCATTACATGCTTAAATTCTTAATCCTCCATTTGTGTTACATTTTTAGGGTTAACTTTGTAATATACTACAAAAATAGATTTTGGAGAACTTAAAGTTTACCTTTTCCCTTAGAAACTAGACTTGATATTTATCATATTAGTTATAGAAACTGCGATCTGGGAGGGTCCTATGGGTAACGGTTATCTCCTAGGAAATGAACAAAGCCCCTCAGAGTGTCAGAACACGTGGGCTTGTCAAGTAAGGTTGCTGCCAAGGAGCCCCTCATTAGAGCCAGCACTGTTAATGAGAAAGGGGAAAGAGATCATGAAAAAGGTCTACCTGTGCTTGGTTGCCGGAGTGCAGGGGTGGGTGTGGCGAGGTCTGGTGATGTGCTGGGTGTGCATGAAGGTGGGAGTGGGAGTGATGATGTGGGTGGTTCTGCTGGTGATGGGGTTGAGGATGAGGATGGTGGGCTGGGTGCTGGTGCTGGTGCGGGTAGGGGTGATGGGCCGGCAGTGTCTGGTGCTGATGCGGGTGTGAGTGCATGTGATGGTGTGGCGTCTGGTCCTGCCGGGAGCCCATCATTTCCATCATGTGTCCCATGGTGTTCATATTCCCATTTGACATGGCAGCAGGGTGGTGAGTCAATGCAGCCTTCAACCTCTGAAACAGAACAAAAGAAGAGGGGACAAATGAGGCCAGCTGTGTACACAACAGGGATTTTGAATCAAAATGACTCATAGTTTCAATTTTATAATATTTAGCAGCTTCCTGGGTGGCTCAAGTGGTAAAGAATATGCCTGCCAATGCAGGAGGCATAGGAGATGCAAGTGTGATCTCTGGGTCAGGAAGATCCCCTGGAGGAGAAAATGGAAACCCATTCCAGTATTCTTGCCTGGGCAATCTCCATGGACAGAGACGCCTACTGGGCTACAGTCCATGGGGTTGCAAAGAGTCACAGCTGAGGTGACTCAGCATGAACATGTAATGGTACTATTATTAACATTTTTTTCTTACTGGGTAGCAGTATGGCTTTTATATAAATTTCAAATCTTCATATTTATTAGAGTAGGTAGGCGTGTCAATGTCAGCCATGAATGTTAATTGATTCAACTGACACTGCAAATGAGCAGGGTACTCTAGACACTTTACTAAAAGGTATTCCTACTATCCAGTTGTTCACCATATCTTATTGACAGCCAACTGCAAGTATAGACCCAATGGAATCATTCAATATGACAATGTCACTGAACAAAAAGCCCATATGAAATGGCACTGTCACAAGATAATGAGTCACAAGAATAAAAGATTTTTGCTTTTCAAAAGATTTCTCAGACCCAAAGAGAAAAGAACTTCAAATTTCAGAATCTAGGAACGATTTTAATATTATTTTAAGTCTTCAAATTAGCTTAGAAATCCATAACTTTGGGAGGCAGTGTAGATCTTTCCATTTGTTCCTATGACACTTCTCATATCATAATCCCTCTGATAATCTAATTTTCTCACACAATAATGTTTTTCTGACTTTAAAGTTGAAGAATATGGACCATTGCACTTCTACAGCTTCTTTGATGACCATACCACGGGGCAGGTACAAAATCATCAACCATCAACAAGCAAACAGACATATACACAATTAAATTCTCCCTGAATCTAACCCCTCAGCAGGGGTCAGCAAGCTTTTCAATAAAGAAGTCAGATAGTAAATATTTCCATCATTGAATGCCTTAAGGTCTCTCACAACTACTCAGCTCAGCCCTTTCAGCACAAAAACAGATACAGACATTCTGTAAACAAATGACCATGCCGAGTTTCAACGCAATTTTACTTAGGGACAGGATATCTGAATTTCATATAACTTCCACATGTCACAAAATACCATGCTACTTTTGATTTTTTTCAATCATTTTAAAATGTCAAAACATTTTTAGATCCTGTGCTGTGCAAAATTAGGTAGTGGTAAAGAATCAGTTGGTAGTCAAGTTGTTTGCAGTTTCTTATACACAGACAATTATCATCATATCCTGAGGGGCATAGTGTACTAGGTACTGTATAATACAGTTACTCCTTGGAAATGTATCTTCTACAGAGATGATAGTCTAGTTGGCAAGCTTATGTTGGCTTCATAAAGTATTTACTAGGGAACTCAAAGTTCTCTTCTGATTTGCATTCTTATCTGATTGATGATGATAGTGTATAATCACTGCAAATGGAAGAGTGGCATTTAAATGATGATCAAAGCTACCATGTGCCAGCCCTATACAATATTAATGATTCTCAACTGGTCAGAGTAAACTATTGATAAGAATAAATTCAATCCATAAAAATCTTTAGTTAAATATAAAGAGCCTCCACTTGTTTAAAAACAAAAAACAAAAAGATAAAAAATAGGCTGGTGGGCGGGTTGGGGGCAGGTAGAGGTTGACATACCATATGTTAATATTCAATAATCATTGAATACAGTTCCTGCATCCTGATGCAGCAACCACTGAGCCCAACTGCCTCCTCCTTCACGAGCAACATCTAGTATACAACATCTACTACACGGGAACTACTGAACTGCGTCAGTATCCTGAAGAAGTTAAGCTTCCTGAATCCCTGGGAAAGATTAGGTGCTGCATATTGTGTTTATTACTAAACAGAAAAGTAAACAGATACTCCTCACCTCCAAGTTTTAGAAATGAGTTCATTGTTTTTATAAAAACACTCATTATAAAAAACTTAAGTGATGCTTAAAAGTACAGTGAAGTCAGCATTGCTTAAATTTGGTGGGTGAACAGTATTCCAGACAGCTCTCTCTGTAGAGATGGAACAACAAGTAGAGTCATTTCACAACAGTGCGATCACCATGGCACATGGTGTCAGAAAACTCTTATTTGAAGAGAACATAAGCAAAAGAAGCAAAAATTGGATGAATTGCTGGACTTTGGATATATGTTTCTTAAATCCAAGAAAACTTTGTGATATATTCAAACTTAAAAGTGAAGAAAATTATGAAAAGATATTATTATGAAAAGATCATTATTTTGAAACTGACATACCAAATAGTATTGATGGATTTTCTATACTATTCTTTATAATTATATTATTATAAAATATACAGCTGCATAGTAAAAAAACAAACTACTACAAGACTATGTGGTGAAAAAGTAAAAGCCACCTGCCTACCTCCTTCCTTCTTAGCCCCATTCCTCAGAGGTAACTACCAAGTATCTGCTGACACATCCTCAGCGTTTATCAGAACATGTTGTGTAAGCTCTTTATAATGATATATGATTTTGTATCTTGTTTTTTTTCTACTTCAACAATATATATCTTTGACAACACGCCCTATCAATAATAGCTAATAATAATGTCTGGCATCAATTGAGCGCTCACTCTGTGACACTCCTCATTCTGTGTTTTATGAGTATTAACTCACTTAATCCTCAGAACACTCCGGCAAGGCACAGACGGACTAATCCATGTGCCAAGCCCTTGCCACTGGAGAGGAGCAGAGGTGACCCGAGCCCTTGCCGCTGGAGAGGAGCAGAGGGGAGCCGAGCCCTTGCCGCTGGAGAGGAGCAGAGGGGAGCCGAGCCCTTGCCGCTGGAGAGGAGCAGAGGGGAGCCGAGCCCTTGCCGCTGGAGAGGAGCAGAGGGGAGCCGAGCCCTTGCCGCTGGAGAGGAGCAGAGGGGAGCCGAGCCCTTGCCGCTGGAGAGGAGCAGAGGGGAGCCGAGCCCTTGCCGCTGGAGAGGAGCAGAGGGGAGCCGAGCCCTTGCCGCTGGAGAGGAGCAGAGGGGAGCCGAGCCCTTGCCGCTGGAGAGGAGCAGAGGGGAGCCGAGCCCTTGCCGCTGGAGAGGAGCAGAGGGGAGCCGAGCCCTTGCCGCTGGAGAGGAGCAGAGGGGAGCCACCTCCAGACCTGTTCTCTACGCCGGGACAGAAGGAGCTGGAAGGCTTGCCATGCACACTTTGTCAAACACAGGAATAAACTGTATTGTGCCACCTCCCCATCATCAGAAGGAAACACAAAAAGAAGAGCAGTGCCCAGAAAACAATAAGATTATTTCTGCACAGTGTAGCACACAAGTGGAAACCCAGTGTATCTTGCTTGTTCCAAAACTTGGCAGACGTAAGGGTGGGAGGTAACAATCTCCAGGCAGCTCAGCTGCAGAAAAGGACCAACCAGAGCTTAGCATCATCATCTCTCTTGTTATATTTTTGTTGTTGTTGTTGTTATATTTATTAAGAATAGGTACTTGTATTCCACCCCCAAACACAGATCTGACAAGGTCCAAGTATATCTTCTCTCTGGCCCCACTTCCTAACCTTCAGGTATATGACTGTTCTAGGCCTTTTCAATGTTCAGAGGATGAAGTTCAAGCCCTTAATACAGCCTATGCATAGGCACTGAGGAGTGTGGCCTGGCATTCCCACCAATGCTTCCATTTGATTGTCTTCTTGCCTAGGATGATCTTTCCTTTTCCGCAGACACTCTAGAGCTTTAAGCAGCAGGACCCTCTTTAGTAAAATTCTCCCTGGTCTCTGCTCTAAACCAATTCCTATTGTTACAAGGCCCCAGCAGAACCATATTCCTCTTTGTAAAACTCAGCGTGTAGCTGTAGTTTTTAGTATGATCATTTAATTAACATCCCCCAACCATTCCAGATGATAAGCATCATGACAGCAGGAACCACATTGGATTTTGCTTGATATTAAACTCATAACTTTAGCACGAAACCTGGTATACATATTGGGGCACTCAATTCATATTTCTGGAATGAATCAATGAATGAATGAAACTTTGTGAAGCTTATGATAAGAGTGTAGCATTTTCATTTTGGATCCTTGGTGGTGGTATTCGTAAGAAAGGATAATTTTACCAGTCATCGAAGGTCAAGAGAATGACAGCAGAAGTCATACAGGCAGATGGGCTATTAAAGTACTGTCAAAAGACCTCCCTGCTCCATCCCCAGTCTGCCCTCTAAAAATGATAACAGAAAAAAAAGAAGAAAAGAAAACACACACACACACACACAAAAGGAATGTGCATTAACTTTATCTTGGTATATTTTCCCTGAAAGAGTGGCAAGGAAAATTGAAAAGCTGTTAAACAGTTGGTCACTATGTTATCCTTTCAATGCTACAAACAACTTTTTCACCTTTAATTAGGTGCAAATGTTGCCTGACAAATAAATACTATGCACCAGATCTTCATCTCTCAAATAATTAGCTTGTACTGTTAAGGGAAATTACTTGATTGCCTCAAGTCTATTCTTGCAGGTTTCATGCCAAGGCCATAATACTAATAAGGCTTATAACATTCCATTTAACTATTCATTCAACAAATATTTACTGGGCACTAATGTTAGGCACATTATTATTTGCCCACTACCTGAAGGAAATCAGAGATGTATAAAAACCAAAGCTTTTCCAAAGCGCTGGAAAGAAAACACACATGCTCGAGTGTGGAAATGAAGACTTTTTAAGAATCCCTTACAGCAGTGGTCCCCAACCCTTTGGGCGCCAGGGCCTGGTTTTGTGGAAGACAATTTTTCCACAGACCAGGGGTGGGAGGGATGGTTTCGGGAAGATTTCAAGCACATTATATTTATTGTGCCTTTTTTATACTGTTCACAGGATTCTTGTGGCAAGACTACTGGAGTGGTTGGCCATTCCCTCCT